AATTATTTTAGAAAATTTATCAAGGATTATTTATATAATTTATCAAGCATTAAAAGCTATGCCGTAACATCGATTAACGAAAAAGGACGTACCATTTCATTTCAATGAACAGTGTAAAGCCGCGTTCGATTTGCTGAAGGGTGAGCTAACATCTTCACCGGTATTACATATATATAACCCACTAGCAGAAACCGAGCTCCATACAGACGCTAGCAGGCAGGGGTTCGGAGCCATTCTATTGCAAAAGCAAAAAATGGGTTGGTGGGCGCCAATCGCTTACTTTAGCAAAGCAATTATCGATGCAGAGAAAAACTATCATAGCTTCGAGCTGGAAACCCTTGCGATTGTAAAGGCTGTAGAACGTTTTCATGTGTATATACAGGGGATGCCGTTTAAGATTGTAACGGACTGTAATTCGTTGGCGCTGGCGATGCGAAAGGTGAATATTAATCCCAGAATCGCGCGATGGTCACTGGCTCTCCAGAACTACAAATTCGAAATTGCATCGTTCCGCGGATAAAATGACTCTGTTGATTTCTTAAGCCGGAATATAAATACAGTGAACGCCATTACTGTTGAAGACGAATTATTGTTTAAACGACTTAGTGATTCTAAATTGAAAGAAATCGCCGAGAACGTTGAGCTACGAGGGAGCAATCATTTTCACCTAATCGATGGGGTATTATTCCGAAGGAATCACGACAAAGATCTTTTTGTAGTCCCAGAAAACATGGTTAGCACAATCATACGACTTAATCATGATGAGATCGGTCATGTTGGAATCGACAAAACTATTTACACTCTGTTAATACATTATTGGTTTCCTTGCTTAAAATTAAGGATGCGTCAGTACATAGATAATTGTGTTAAATGTTTAACGTACTCTGCTGCTGCCGGTAAACCGGAGGGTGAACTGCTGGTATTTAAAAAAGAATCCGAACCTTTACAAACGGTACATGTGGACCATTTTGGTCCTTTAGAAAAAACTAAAGATAAATTTAAATATGTACTGGTTATTGTTGATTCTTTCACTAAGTTTGTGTGGTTGTTCGCAACTAAATCTACAGGTTCATCGGAAACTATTGAGCGTCTATCTGGTCTATTTGATCTATTCGGCCGACCGAGGCAAATAATAATTAGTGATAGAGGTACGGC